TTGCTTTTAGGCATTATATTTTGTTTTTCTCTTTCTTTCCTACTTTGTATAATTTCTGTTTCCATTTCTTTTATGTGATCTTATTCCCCCAACTTTTGTGTAATTCATGTTTTATACTTATTTCAGGTGGAGAAACTTCTCATGGAAAAAATGGATACATACGAATCAGCTGTTGGTGAAGCTAACGTGAAGGTTGCTCCTCGAATTGAAACTTTTCCACCTGCCTTCCAACCAGTGCCTCGCAATCCCATCGTGTTGGATCTGGCTTATAACCTTATTGAGTTCCCATCACTGGATGCTCGGATGAAGAAAGATAAGAAGGGCTTCATTAGTAGATTTTGGGGTTGAGCTTCTCTTTTCTTTGGTCATTGATTTGTCAGTTGCACCATAGAGTCGAGGCAATTTTGTCAAATTTTTACTGCGAGATTCTTCGACATGCCTTTAGAAATTTTTTCTATACCTGAGAATTTCGAGAAATTTTCATTCTATATGACGTGTTTTTTCTGAAGTTCTATTAGCAACAGATTTCAAAAGAATATTTAAGAGGTCCATTAATTTGTTGCATCAAATGGTTTGCTTGGGCAGACAGTTAAACTTATTTAGAAAGTGTATTCTACTCTCAAGTTGCATTGTTTCTGTATTTCAACCAAAAGGAGAATAAAAAATTCCGAGCTTGTTTTGAGCAAAGGAGGGACATCAGTGAGCTCTAGTTCAATTGGAATCAAAGTTCATTCTTCAAACTGCTATGAGTTGGATTCCTAATGATGTGGTCGTCTCTCTGTATTTGTTCCTAATTCTTACATCTAGGGGTGTACAAATAAAACCGATAAATCGCACCAACCCGATAATCCGAGTCAAACCGAGAAAAGAAATTCGATTGGTTTGGTTTGATTTGGTGTTAGAAAAAAAAATCGACCATATTTGGTTTCGTTTGGTTTTAAAAAAGAAAAATTAAACGGAAACCAAACCAACCCGACATTATATGTATAGAAGTTTTAAATATATTTAATACATAAATATTTTTATTTTAGTGTAGTTTATAAATATTTTTAAAGTTCTTTCATAGTTTTATCTTTTCAAGTATTATTTCAAGCTTGGACCGATAATTTTTGGATGCTCCAATAAGTTTTATAGTTCATAAATGTTAGTAACTCTAATAAATACTAGTAAAACTAGCATGGGCTAGCCAGTCTTTAGACCGGTCATTCAAAAATAGCCAGCGTTTGCAAAGTCAATGAAAAATAGTCACTATTTTATTGCAATAGGGACTGGTCCAGCATAATATACTGGAGATCAGTGCAACTGTGTATGAACTTCCAGCATATTATGCTAGAACTCCAACACGCGAAAAGTTCCAATGCTGGAACTCCATTATAATATACTGGAGTTCCAGTATACTTATGATGGAACTCCGGTATATTATGCTGGAGTATTTTCCGGATTTTGAACAGTGTTTTCGTTCAGATTTATCTTTACATGAAAAGTGGCTAAATTTTGATTACCACTTGTAAATCTGGTTATTTTTGAATTTCTCCCTAAATACTAAACTAATATCAAATCAATACTAATGCTAATAAACAACATTCAATTCAATTGTACTATGAATGAAAATAGTGTTGGATATTTATTTTTTAGTTTTCTGTGGTTTAGATAAGATGCATAACTTATTTTTCTTTTAGTGTTAGTCATGTAAATAATAACACTTATTAGTCGTACTTATTTTAGCAACTTATTAGTAATTTTAAATTATGTTTTTTTTAATTATGGCTTATTAATAATACTTATTTTATGCGATTTTATTATCTTTATTGTTGAATATTTTAGTACAATGACATGACTCATCTCATATTTTTGTTATTTTATTGAAAAACACCTTTTATAGTTCTATCTTACTAGGATTAAAGAAATATTAAGAGCACAAATTCTATATTTTGTGCTATGAACACTTTATGAAAAAAAAGACCCGAAAACCCGAAAAATCCAAGAAAAACCGATATTGAAATACCCGACTTTTATTGGTTTGGTCTGGTCTTTAAATTTAATAACCCGATACAGTTGATTTGATTTGGTAATTAAAAAATTCGAACCAACCCGACTTATGTACACCCCTATAATACATCTTAACGTTGTTCCTACCTAGTACGGGAAGTTGAATAATGTGGCGTGTTATCAGTTTTACCATTGTCTTCTCTTTTTATTGAACTGGTAATGAGTACGTAGTTGCAACTGGTTAAACTTACCTACTGTACACCAACAAACAACCCAGTGTAATTCTACAAATGGGATCAAGAAACCGAGTTTGGCTTGGGGAGGATAGTGTATATGCAGACCTTACCCTTAGTTCACGAAGGTAAAGAGGTAAACTTATCTACTGTATGAATTCTTTTTAACCCCTTCCCGGGAGCTTCCCACTTTGCTCCCTTGATGACTCGAACCCACATCTTAGGTTTAGAGGTAAAGAGTGCTTGCCACTTGAGCAACTTTCTCTTGTCAGTTCGATAGTCTATTCACATGGCATCCACAGTCGTAGGACTCAGCTGCATCCTGTCCGTCCTTTTCTCCGTTTTCTTCTTTAAACCTTATCTTTTGGTTTAGGTATTTGTCAGTTGATAGTAGAATCTGTAGATTGATATTGGTTGCATAAGCTCTACTTGACCTATGGACGGTTAGCACATTTCACTATTGCCGAAAGTTTTCAAAGCTGGCCATTATCTAAACTTCCAACGTTGCATCTAGTCTTCAGAATATCAGTTACTTGTGCGAATCTTACGCATTTTAAACTCCAATTTTAGATATAAAAATTGATCGAAATATTGTAAATCCATTAGTTTTATGTCGTAGGGAGGCAATAGAAATGATTTCAACTTACACCGGAATTGCAAGTCATCAAAAGTTGATTATGAAATCTCCAGCGATGGACCTATAGTTGGAATAACGGTGCACAATGGCGCCTTGCTTTATTTTCAGCAACTTCTTACTAAAGTGTCCTGCTTTCCAGAATCTGAGCCAGCTAAGCTATATAAAGGCGGACAAAACAATAAAGAATACACATGGTAGAATATCCTCAGTGTCAAATTGATTAATCCATAAGTTGTTCTAATTCGAGCAAATTTAAACATTTTTGCTGCTGTCACTAAAGCAATACTCCATTACTCAAATGATCACTCAACTATCTCAAATTATTTCCTAAAGTCACTTTTTTTTTTATTTGTAACAACAAAGTCACTTAACTATCTCTATTGCACTCAGAAGGTCATTCAACTAGATTTTCCAAATTTTGGATTGCAAAATACCTATTTTACCCTCTAAATTATAAATATTTGTCTTCTTTTAATTTTTTTTAAAATTATGATTTTTCCCTTTTTAATTTACATTATGGACTTACTTCTAGAATAAATAAATATTATTTATAAATTAAAAAATAAAAAGTATTTAAGCATATATAATGCTGGAATAACAAAATAATGAGCACAGTAAAAAAATTAACTAGAATAATTTGTTAGTAATAATAATTTTAGTATTAAGTATTAACAAAAAAAATTCAAATTTTTTTTTTTGCACAATTCAGAACGAAAGAAAATAAAGGTTGTAAAATATATATTCCATGCACGTAATATAAAAATAATTACTTAAATAAATGTATTTTTATAACATACATTATATATTCTTGAAAATTATGCTCAACTATATTATATATATCCCCTGCACGACTTAACATAGCATATTTTACCCTATACAGATAGTCCCCCTACTTTCAGTTTCCGGTGACATAACTTTGTGTCGTCGGAAAGTTGGTAGAAATATAATAATATATGAGCATAATTTTCAAGAATATATAATGTATAATATAAAAATATTTTATTTAAATAAATATTTTTATATAATGTATAATATAAAAATATTTTATTTAAATAAATATTTTTATATTACATGCATGGAATATATATTTTACAACCTTTATTTTCTTTTATTCTGAATTGTATAAATAAATTTTTGAATTTTTGTTGTTAATACTTTTAAAAAAATAAAAAGAAGATAAATGTTTATAATTTAGAGGGTAAAATAGGTATTTCCCAATCCAATATTTGGAAAATCTAGTTGGGTGACCTTCTGAGTGCAATAGGCGTAGTTCGGTGACTTTGTTGTTAAAAACGAAAGAAAAGTCACTTTAGGAGATAATTTGGGATAGTTGAGTGACCATTTGAGTAATTGACTCCTGAAGCAATCAGCAAGTTGCTGCGTCTGTTTTGAAAGGAGAAAGAAATTGTAAAGTCTGTGGTTGGTCAACGAGCTGGACTGGATCAATGGTCTCTCTATACTCATTTCTCATTTTTTTTACACCTTATGGTGATCAACAATGTTCCTTACAAGCACTGGAAGTTGCATCACATGGAGCAAATTTCACTTTCACATACACCTTTTCTAAGGACTGACACAAAGCTAAACTGGTCTCTATGTTTGCCTTCGTTTGCTGTGCATTAGTTTTGCTGGATAACTGTGACATTTCCTAATTAATAATGGTCAGACTTCTATCTTCCAATTTTTATCCTGGTCTTCCTGTCTCAACTAGAGGTTCAAGGATGGAAAATGTTATAACGAAATACTTTGTTAATACATTTCATGCTCCAATGTTAGATGAGAAATGTAAATGATTGTACAAAAAGACCATCAATCCATCAGCTCTTCGTAAAAGAACAGCAAGAGTAATTATTCAACTTCAGAGTTGCAAGCGTGTTAATACTACTATACTAGGGGAGAAGAAAAAGCAAGAAACATAAACAGATCATCGGATTTTTGCATCTTATATCAAATTCAATGCACCACAAACGCATTAGTTCCTAGCAAATTGTAGCGAAATACTGTTCTCTCTCCATAGATCGAAACTATCCAGCTGATATATCTAGCAAAATGCTTCGGAGTGCTTTGAAGCTCATGTAAAATCAAAGCACATGATCTAATCATAGGGCTGAATCTGTTTGATTATACATGTCCATACTTGACACAGTTATGATTCACACAAGTTGTACCAAATGCCAAAATTAAGATCCAAAACGAATTACACACACTTGTTTCATAGTATATGTTTTAACACGAATACAACCTATGCAAAATAAAGAGTCAGTGTAACATAGGTAAACAGAGAAATATACCTGCAATACTTCCTTATCAGCCACTGTGGTAGCACAATTTAGGTAGGTAGAGGTCCATAGAAAAACTGTTTTCCACCAGAACGAAACAGCAATCCGATGAATACAGCAATTATCCACAACAAAGAAGCCAGGGTCACCACATGGAACTTTTTCGAGATGAGTGTATTATACCAGTCCTTGTCTTCTGGCAATCCATAGAACTCTTCAACTAATGTGTTAATCACAGCATCTAGAAGCTTCTTGTAACGGACATCAACATCTGTTGTATTCACCAGTTGCATTTGAGCTTCTCTTAGGTACTTCACTGCCATTTCTGCCTCAACAAAACCAAACTTCACATCACTTGATTGTGGAACTCCACTACTGCTATTCGAGCCACTGCATTCTTTGTACTTGTCAGAAGTTAGTGTTGAAGACAGTTGAGTCAGCTCAGCAAGAGAATCCACTGCTTCTGATGAAGGAGAAGTTTCAGGAATCAACAAGAAGTCCTGGCAGGATAGAGGATCCGAAAGTTATAACCGCAGTACTAAGAGGAGTGAGTAAGTTTCGCAGATGTGAAAATCAACTCAAAAGATCTCAAAATTGAAAACATATATTTTCATAATCGGCATACCAATAGGCAATAACTTACTAAACCATATAAATCACAAAAAGGTAAGAAATTATGGACAGCTTTTAAATTCACTACTAGTAGAGTCGAAGCAAATTGTATGATTCAACTTCAACTACACTCTCTCTCTCTCTCTCTCTCTCTCTCTCTCTCTCTCTCTCTCTCTCTGAACGAAGTTCACAACTGAAACATGTAGCTATGTAGTTTCCAAAAGGCACTTCAAATCAACGAAAATTCAAAAATTTACACGCTAAAATTAGATTTAACGAGATGATTCTGCTCACTCAACTAAAAATATTTCTATTAAAACTACAATTAGTGATGATAATGCATATACATACACACGCTCATATACAGCCATATTTTATAATATAGATGTGGATTCTGAATAAAAATCACTTCAAATCCCGAAAATTCAGAAAATTACAGACGAAATTGGAGTTAAGGAGTGGATTTTGCTCACTCGAACTACAAAAACTTCTATGAAAACTACAATTACTGATGAAAACGCAGATATGTATAACTAGAGATTTGATAAAGTAAAACGCATTTCGGAATTACCTCAGCGGCAGATTCAGTGAGTAGATTAAGATCATCGGTAGCAGCAGAGGAAATCAGAGAACTACCGATCGATTCCTTGGGCGAGAATTCAGAAAGTGCGGCACCTTGCGATTCAAACGCAGAATTCAAGTTTTTCTTAACATTCTGCATACAGATAAGATGAACATTACAAGAGAAAACAACGAATCACATACGATTGTTCATAGAAGCAAAAAGCTTAGATTATATACTTTGAGAGGCTTCTTAGTTTGATCGGAGATGGATTTGGATCGGCGATTTCCGTGCTCCTTCAATGGCGTTTGAAGATGATGATGCTCTCTCATCGCGCTCTCTATTTTTTGGTGTGCTATTGTTGGCGCCAAATGCTTTAGCTTTGGAATTTCAAATGAAGTTTTAGTTATTTAAAGGATCTCTAATACATGGATAGTTTCCTCTGGGTCACGAATATTTCACTATACAACAATTTTGCTTATTCTACTTCCAAGTTCCAATATGCAATAATAATCATTATATAAACTTATATTTATTTGAATATTTTAATATTTGTATTAGCAATGCTAGATTTAAAATTCGAGTTGTAATTAAGTTTAACGTCAATAACTTAAAGATGGTGATAAAAAGCACATTGAAACTTACGTTTGTGAGGTCATTTGTTGAACATTTGCTTAAATCAGATATACATTTATGTATCTTTTTATCAGTTTATTGTATTTTATCTATCTCATCGTGCTCAAAAAGCCATATATTTCGATTTTTCTATTCTTATGTTTAAGGTGTTTAATAGTAACTGTCCAAATTAAAAGAGGTAAATTTATCTTCTCCTATACAAAGTGTTCCCTAAACAATTGCCACAATTAAATTGCATGAGTTAAATTAAAAAAATTAGCAGTTGGAAAGATAGAGAAAATCAAAGAAAGAAGAAAACAAAAGAATGGAAACAATAGTTGTACGGAGAAAAATCAGTATAGTATAGAGGATGAAAATTGAGAGGGAGACTGGAAAATAGCAATAGGCAGAAAGAAAAGCAATATGTACAATAAACAATTACGAAAAGAGATATACATAACAAAATTGCAATTCAATCACAAACTACGCAATTATGTTGCCCCACTTATTCTTTTTCTTTTTCTTTTTCTTTTTCTTTTTTGTACTTTATTTATTTTCTTTTGGTTTCATGTTCCTGTTATTTTAATAGAAATTTAAAAACAAAACATTTGTTTATCTTACGAAAGAAGAAAAATAAATAAACCCATAAATTAATTAGTTAATTATATAATTATACTAATATATTTGTGTATTGAACCCAAAAAGGCACATATATAAAACTTAAAGTTTTCTTTAAAAATTCCTTTTTGTAAGAAATTTGATATTGAAAAATGCAGTTCAATGTAAACTTTAATTCTAATAATGATATTTATATTTGTGATTTTATTAATATAACAACAATAACAACAACAAACTCAGTAATTTCTCAAATAATATATTATTAATATATTAATACTTTTTATATGATGTACCTGAGTTTTCTTGAATAACTTTATAAAAATATAATTTCTAAAATTTATTGATATTTTTTGCATCGCGCGAAGCGCGGATATTTATACTAGTTACAAAATAATCATTTGACTCAATTCACGAATTAGTCCACTATGAGTCTACACAATTTATTTTGTTAATAATTACGTACATAAACGTTATAAAAATCAAACTTGCATCTTAATTCGATTTAAGGTCATAGTTCTACTACTGAGTTACCACTTAATTGTCATTTAAACTAAATTATCAGTTCTGTTAAATGCTTCGACCATCTCTTAGTTCTTAAAATTATACATTCTTCTCTTGTATTATTTCGTCATGCTTAACTACAATAAAAGGGTCTATTGAAAAGTTGTACCTTTATATACAATTTTAAAAATTCTGATGCTTAATTTAATCAACCGATGCTGATCGCCAAATTATTTATTAGTCAATTTTTTCTTTTTTGGTCATCTCATATCAAACTACTCCTCAGTACGTTTTGCAAATTATAACTGGTAAAAACTTACCCGCACACGGGTTTACGCCAAATTATATTAATTTTCTACGATTAAGTCATAAATTAAGGTGAAAATATATATTATAATTAACTAGATTTAATGATAAAAGTGTACATAAAAATACGTGTCATGTATTTATTGGTTTGTGTAAACGGGGGGGCCCGAGTAAGTTTTTACCTGTACAACTTTCACCACCCAAGTTAAAGGAGGAAGCCGGTGACAGGTTGATATCTAGCATAGAAATAGTCTAACGAAGAATAGAAGAGGATTCATGTAACTACCCAACTAGTTCGGAGTTGGTTCATTATATTGTTGATCATATTTGAATGTGTAATTACATCTTTGTAGAAAAATATTATAGGAATAGTTTTTTTACTGAAGGGCATAAATGTCGTTCATTTTTATTAGGACATTTTGGTCTTTTAACTTAACACTAAGGACTTCGCAACTTATAATATACTATGATGTCTCATTAAAGTTAATTTTCCAGAGAAGCGTTTACTGCATTTATTTTCCTGCAAAGATTTTGGCTCACTCACCCCTTGAAAAGGGTAGGATTTGGTTTCTTTCTTCTGCCTCTCCCATTTTACAGCAGCTTTCATTTACCTGTTCTTGTTCAAATTCTTCATTCATGTGACATAAACAATAACATTAATATATAGTAAAATAAAATAAAGAAAATTCCACTTATTGTCAATATGAAAGAACAACTAGATATTTCGCCAACAGGGAGAACAAGCTCCAAGTGATCAGAGTAGTTCTTCAAATGAAATGAATGTTTCCCTATATTTACCCACATCCTTTAAAATGTCTTTAAAATGAATCTGGAACTGCTATATTACTTAGTATAGTCATTATATATTGTCATCGCCTTTATGTGGGCACGAGCCATCTACCTTCAGATTCTGGAGGTTCAATAATGACTACTCCGCCATCGGTTAAACCCAAAGCGAACTGGTTCGGATTTTGAGGATGAGCAGCAACCACCAGAGGGATCACATAAGCACTGCATTCCAACAGTAAAAATGACTAGAGGTTGCATAAGGGTAAAACGAGCAAAATGCAGTAACATAGAGGTTGCATAAGTGTAAAAGGACAGGTTAAAAGTTAAAACAGGACTTTTACAATTTGCATGCAAGTCTTTTCCTTTCTAACATTCTTCTAGGCTTTTATTTTTTTTTTTGTGTCGATTATACGTTTATGGAAACGACCTTTTGCAGAAATGCAGGGTAAAACTGCGTACAATAAACCCTTATGGTCCGGCCCTTCCCCGGATCCCGCGCATAGCGGGAGCTTAGTGCACTGGGCTGCCCTTTTTATACGTTCAAGGGTCGTTTGGTTGCCGGTTAGAGTTATGCAGGTATTAGTTATACATGTATTAGTTATGCAGGGATTAATTATGCAGGGATAAGTAATGCAGTGACTAGTTATGCAGGTATTAGTTATGCAGAGATTATTTTTTTGAATGTTTGGTTTGTTGTATTAGAAATTGATATACATTATATAAATTTTAAAGTAAAATGCTTGTTTACAACTATACACTTGGCCTTCTTTTGCATTGTTTTTTCTCTCTTTCCATTTATGTAGGAAACAATTTAGTTAGGAACTTTGGGTGTTACTTTCACTTCTTCGTCATACTACTGAACTAGGTGAAGTTTAGACATATTTGATTTTCACTTCTTAGTTTTGGTATTTCCATTTTCTAGTGGCTTCTCCAGTTTGCTTTTGCTAGTTTGTTCTTTAAAAATGAGAGAAGACAAGGTATATAGTTGGCAAGTGAAAGCAAGTGAAACCTGTTGACGGGTTGACAGAGAAATAAGGAAGCCTTATGTGTAAAGTGATAGGGGTAAATTTGCCATTTCAGTATTTTATCCATGTATTACTAATACATGTATTAGTTATTCCATCTTCTACCCCGCATAAAATAATACACAGATTGACTCATAACTTATACATGTATTATTTATGCATAATTGAAAAATGTCAACCAAACATGGTATTAGTTATACAGAATTTTATACAAAATAATTATTGCCTACCAAACATGGTATAAGTTATGTTACCCCTTATACATGAATAACCTTTCTTCTAACCAGCTACCAAACGACCTCTCAGTGTTTATAACACAGAATTTAGTGCAAAAATTTTCTAGGATTCCCAGGTTATGAGTCACATAGTGATGGTTGAAATACTTAAATGCATATCAAGAAAGTAAATTAAGAGAGCAGTTGTCACATTAAACATGGAACAAATGACCCAATCAATACAAAAGTTGGGTCCTCCCACATCCTAATGTTATATATCGATTCCAATAAACTATAAAAGCACATCAAATTACCTGAAATCAGAAGGGAGGAAAGTAGAAGGATCTATCTCAAATTTGGGAGAGAGATCTGAAGCAGAAAGTATCAAAACGATCCCGTCTTTCATAATGGCATATATCCACTGACAGTCACAGGAGAATGTCGCGTGTGAAATTCGCGCACAGAAGTTTTTGATGATCCACTGGAACATTTGAAATCAAAAAGTAGTTTATTATTGTTGATGTCGACAAGAAACAGTATCTCTTTACATCAGGGCCAGGGAGGGGTGGATGAAAAAAGAGAGAGAGTGAACAAACCTGCTTCACACATTCTAGTTTCGTTGTTTCATAGATTGCAATTTGAGTCTCATGAACAACAAGGAAATGTTCCTGATCTTGGTGAAATTGGACGAAGGTCTCTGATAGTTCTGTCGGAATCCAGTCAGCAGAGATCTGCAACAGTGTACTTCGCTCTCTCTTCCAGTTTATAGAATCCCACACCACTATCTGGTAAAATAATGAGAAAACAAGTAAAGATAGTTGGTTCGTCCATATAGAGGAGTTGCTAGATGGTCCTTCGAAATGACTGCCAATATATCCTACGTTCTCATTTATCACAACAACAACAATTACACCTCGATCTCAAACTAGTTGTGGTTGGTTATATGAATCCTCTATATGTCCATGCTGCTTTTGGGTCCTTTTCATTCCAAAACTCAATAATATATCTTTTAAGACAAATTAGGGGTTCTCTGATACTAGAGGTTGACATTTATAAATCAGAATAACTACCAAAAATGAATGAAAATGTACTATTAAACAGTAGAAAGTTAACTAGTGACATATAGCAAATCAATCATCAATTGCTTATCTTCTAATGGATGACCAAAAATAATGAAGGCAAAAAACCTGAGAGTCTGCTCCTGAAGAAACAAGCACAGGCTGTAGGCTAGAGAAGGCAAGTCCACTAATCCTTTTTGAATGTCCCTCAAGCCTGATTATGACCTGCAAAATCAAATAATAATATCAGCTTTGGCTGATCTTCACGTATTTTACACTCCCCTCAACGGAAAGTGGGAGATAAATATGATACCTCATCCAAACGAACATTGTAGACAACAATTGAAGAATCATCCATCCCTACAGCAATCACATTGTTATCAGACGGGTGGAAAGCAATACATGTTGCTGCAGGTACAGGAGGCAGGAAACTTTTCATTTTCTGCAGTTATCAAGCACAAAACGGGTAGGTCAATGTAAGAGGAAATACAAGCTTTTGAGCATTTCAAAATAAAATAAATTAGTTCTTCCAGAGAAATCAAAGTAACTTCATGAATGTCAGCGTCATGAAAGCGAAGCATAAAAGAGAACATAGAGCAAAATTGTGGATTGGAGAAAAGCTAAATCACATGAAAGCAAAGTAGCAGCGTACACCACATTGTCAGTTTTTATTCTTGAAAATTACCAATTCCATTCAGCAGATGGACTTCATGATTTGAGTACTTCAGTTGGTGCTGAAGGCTATAGTGACACTAAATTTAACGGGAGAGAAAGGGATATGCTGGGGGGGGGGGGG